ATGGAGAAGAGCTTGGCCTCCCTGGGCATGGCAGGATGTTAGCCGGGTTCAGCTACCATGTGAAACTGTCTGCTCTCCACAGTCATGCTCTGGTACACCAGCCACCCCTACCAGCCACATCACCTCCTCCACTGAAGTAGCATTGTGGGCACTGCACGATGTTGGAAAGCCCAACAAAAAGTCTTTCAGCTCAGACGATGGCCCCACAGCTTTGTTTTGACATTCCAGCCACAAGGATTTACAGTAACCAAGCAGAAAACTCATCCTAATATATGGATATAAAAACAATGACCAAGTATTGAGTTCATCCTTTCTCAGTTGTAGTTCCAAAACCCATTTTGGAACTACAGGGAGAAACCCTGTATTTCACCATCTAGCAGCTGTTGTAACTTTGACATCACCAGCTCTTACTTGCTATGCTAGAGCTTGTACTTCTACACAACTTCTCATAGCAATGAGCATGGGTATCTGTATCTTGGTAAATACAAATAATGTGTGGGATTTTTTTTTAATTCTATTATGCTGAAACAAAACCAATCAAGTTTCTACAGAAATATTTTCCAAATCTGAAGTTACCACCTGCAATTAGTGTTAGTTGTTCAAGCTCTGTTTTTCAAAAAGTGAAAATAACAATTCCCTAAACCATATCCAAAACGAATGCCCTGTAATGCAGTCTGATTCCATGGAGTGAAGGTATAGCTCCTATAATCACAAATATTCATTAGTTACCTGCAGAATATTCCTTAATTAATCATGAAATAACCTACTAAATGTTAACAAAACAGTCATGAAGCAAAAACAACATAAGCGTAGATTGACTGAAATGTGCTTAAAATAATAAAAAGTAAAAATCATCCTTTATTCTTGAAGCAAGAGTACAGTGCACCTAATCACCTGCACCAGTGACCATTGTCAATAAGGGTGCTTTGCTGGTTGCTCCGAGTGTTCAGAAAATCGTTGAACTGCCTCAGCTCTGGCTGCTACTCCTGTGCTCTCAGCTATTGTGCAACACAGAGCACATGGTTATAACACACAGCAGGTTTTGCTCGACAGCCGCTGGCCTTGTTGCAAGCCAGTACTATCTCCTGGGGGCATGCTCTGCTGTCATTCTGCAGCTGCTGAACTGTCACTGAAGCAGCTCTTTCCTACAAGCCAGCTGTCTAGTAAAAAGACTTCAAAAGCCAAGAAACTCTCAGAATAAACAGGGAGAATGTCAACACAAGTAAAGTTCGCAGTAGCGGTCATGAGAGTAAACCTACCTTTTGGTGTTGGTAAGAATGAGTTGCTTCTGGTTTTAAATCTTTCCAGTCCCAGTCTGCACTTACATGGATGAATATGCCAACCTGTCAGTCAAACCTCAAAGGACATCAAAGTGACTTTTTCTTTTTCAAATGAGCTCAGGAGGCCTAGGAGTGAGGATAAGAGTGGAGCTACACTCAGCCCACCCAAGAATAAGCTGGGAACTCCCTGGATGCAAAACAAGTAAGGGTTTAAGAGCAGGTCACCCTTGATATCCCCAAGACAAGCTAGTCAACAGATGATCAATAGCAGTGAATTTTCCAAGGGATCAGGGGAATTCTTATGCTGTCACATATCTGTTTTGGTGGACCCTCCAAAGCATGCATCTTTTGCCCTATTGAAGTTCTGCAGGTTATGCCAGACTAATAACAAAATCCCTCTCCCATGGTCAGCACTAATTTTGAATTCCCAGAGGCAGTATTGCATCAAGTGTAACTGAGCCAGTCAGTTGTTCCCAGGGGAGCAGATGTTAACATGTTCATATTTTTCTTCATCCTAACTATCAGCACCAAGTAAAAGGAATCCTTGTAATCAAGGTGTCCGGTTGCAAAGTTGAAGCTGTCTGATTGTGCGACATGAAATACAACCCACCAAATATTTGCACAGAATATCATTCTGTCCAGACCAACCTGTTGAAATTTGAAAACGATGACGCCTAAGCAAAGACGGGTAGATCCATTAGAGTATCTGACTCAAAATCCCAACTACTTCTGGTTCACCTCTGCTTCTGCACTGCTCAATAAACCGCTGGAAAAATCTCTGTAGTACACAAGGCAACAAAACAGATCCACTAGGCATGAGATACTTACTCAGGATGGAGCACCCACTGTAGAGAAGAGACCAAATAGGAAGAACAATGGTGCATGTAAGAGGTGTGAGCTGGTAAGCTGCAGAGTCACAGCTCGTACTATTCTTTGAGATGTTCCTCATATGAACATTTCTGTTTTATGAGGGAAAATGTATGCAAACATCTGAAACTGAGTTCTGTGCCTCAGAAGTAGCAGTAGGACAAACACCCTGTTAGTGCGCTGCATACAAACATACAGAAAGGAAGGGCATGCTTCATACTGTCAGAAGGTGTCCAAGGAATCCTTCAGAAGGTTCAAGATTGTGAATGCGTGTGCAGAGAGTACATCCCACAGAATAACTGCTGTAAGAATCTTTGCCTTCAAGCACTTATCTACATGGACATTCATGCTGTGGACCACTCCCAACAGTAAAAGCTCTACCCACGCAGTGTCTGCTAGTGATTGCTAAATGCCACCTTCAAAAGGTACCAATGCCATTTGTATAATCCTCTTTGGATTCCTCAGATGGAGAAACTGAAGAACCTAAGGAATAAGCTAGTTTCATATGCTAGAGGAGACAGAATTTCAGGTAAAAATCAACTGCGTTAATCCCCTTAACCATGACCTAAGAGTTGCTTTGCTTCTCCAGCCGCTTGCATGCAGCACACAGGTATGGGAATCTTTTGCTTCTGCACAAGTGGGTTAGACCTGAATTTTGCTAAACTTACATAATGTGTATGGCGTAACTCTTTAAGGAGAATGATCTAAAAATAATATTTTAATATTGCGAATGAATGCTTCTTGTGATCCAACTTTTGGGTTAAATTTTTTTCAGAACATGTTGTCTGTCAAGACAGATACTGAATGTGACTGACCATTTGGATGTAGGTGCTGTTGGAGCTGGAAAGTAGCGCTAACATCCACATCATCAGACTCCCTCTTAACCTGTCTCAAGGAGTGAGAAAGCGCAACATTTATGAAGAGTGTGTAAGAAAGTAGGTCTACCTCTATAGGTGTCACCAAACCATTCAGGTGCAGGTATGGAGAAGTGGTTCCAGGGCTGCATCGTTTGCTCTCAGGGTCGTATCATTTTGTTCCTATAAATGAATGAGAAGGCAAACAGCCAAGGGATGAAGCCCTTCTTTTTTTTTCAATCATACTTCTTGCTTTTTGGTGTTTGTCCCCGAGCCAAGACCAGCATCAGTAATGGCAAAGCAATATTCTGACAAAGCTCATCTGCCACCTCTGTGTTGGGAAGTTTCAGAATTCACGTGAGCACACAGTGTAACAGATGCTACCCTACCTGCTGCTGATCTTTCTGGAGACACTTCTCTAAAGCATTTATGGGACATGGTCAGGGGCCATTCTTCTTTTACCTAAAAGGGATAATTTCTGAGAAGGTGCCAACTTCAGATCCTCTGCTAGAGAGCCGGCTGCCTTCCCCAGGGAATAATCCTGGAAACTGTGTTAATGGTTCTTTTGTATGTGAGGCTTGTCTCCAAAGTGCAGCACGAATTCCATGGTGCATAGGCTTCTCTGAAGCAGTTCAAACAACACACAATAGCACAAGATTTGAAGTGACCTTCACAAGATAAGAGCTGTTAAATGTTTAGTGGAAGAACCAATTCGATCAGAGGAAACAGTAAATACTAGATGTGAAGTCAAGGCAGTGATGGAGCTGCAGAATGAGGAAAGCCTCACGGTTTACCTTCATGTCAGCTACAAGTTTGGCAGGAACTAAGGACACGCACTGGGTATGAACACCTTGTATCAGCATGTACAGGGGTGGGGAAGAGCTTGAATACAAGTACTTGAACAAGTACAAGTATCTCCTGTACAACATTCAGCTTACTACATCACCAGGAAAGGTAGGTACTACTGCTGATGCTTGTGCATGCACATGCTTTGCAGACAAGCTGCTAATAAACAGACTTCTACAGTTCTATGATAAACACCAATGAACAGTACTGTTATTACAATGTGATTGCTAACAGTGTTGTTGCTAACAGTACACAAGATACTCTACATTAGTGTCAGATGTTTCAAGCACAAACCCATGACCAAATCACCTGCTGCAATAAAAAGGAAAATTTGCTTGTTTTTAAGTGATATCACTTAAACATATAATATTTAGAAAAACTCTTCTTGAAACCATCTCTTCAGCTACCTACTGCAAAATTTTATCCCTTATGGGAGCTATGTCATTCTTTCAAAACATAGTATTTATGCCACATGAATTCTTTATTTTGGAAAACACTTTATATGGTTTTCCTCCTTTTTTTTTTTTATGGAACACATTTTCTACCATGAAAAATGAGACCAAAAATGTAAGACATACTTAAACACCGAAAGTGTTAAATGGGGGTGCTTGGGGTTCTTACATTTCACCTACGGATTACTTCCTTGGCTTCAACGGTACTCTGTTTAGCGGGGAGATGGATGTGTGCAAGACTCAGGCTAAGAGTATTAGCTGAAGTTTTAGAAACCTTATCCAAATTTGTGCACTGTAGCCTTATAGTAAACTGCTATTCAGACAACCATTCTAGCGATGCTAACCAACCCACTCGCATCTTAGTTTAGTGGACATTATGGCCAAAAGATAAAATGGTAAAAGGAAATCCTCAGTTTTTCCAAAGTAGGCAGTCACAGACAGTATGCACACACAAACAGACTGGGAATCAGACAGACATCCTAAGTTAAAACAACAAAAAAATTGATTCAATTAGAACAACAGAGTTCCTTCTGAACATGCTACAAAAATTATTTTCCCATACATATAGACAAAATATCTGAAAAAAAAATGTTGCAAACTTCACTGAAATATAAGTCCTCTACATCTGAAAAGGTTTGGGAAGTATAGGGGGCTTTTCAAATATCAAGTAATAGAATAAAGGCAACCTTATTTCACCCTACCTGTTGCCATTTGCCCTTAATTGCTGGATCTCTGATTGACTGGCAATGTCTTTGGATTTGCTGGATGACACCCTGGTAATATACCATAGAAGAGTCATAATTCCCAAGGAGTGCATATTCTCTTCCTTTTTTGGCATTATCACAAATCTCTGCCAGGTTCATCTTCACTCAGAAATCTAAAAGAGAACATAATCGTCAGAAAAATGAATTTTATGTGCTGTAGAATAATTCAGACCATGACAATTTGGTTTTGTTTTTATTCTCATAGCTGAATTGTGTCTTTCTGCCCCCCATTCACATCCAGTCCCACTCTTCTACAACCATTTAACTCTAGAGTTTCTCTTTACTAGCCTATGGATTCAAATCATGAATCATAACTCTTTTATGGTGATAAACCCCACAATTTCTTTAATGCCTTTGGCCCCAATTCTGTTAAATTAGTTCAAGAAAATTAAATGCCCTGCCCACACTGAACCCAACAAACCAAACTTTAATCTGCAGATCACTACGATATACTGGTAGCCATCAACCCATGAATCACAAATCACACGAGGCATTAAATTGCTTTTATACTGGTGTATAACATATGTGCCTAAATATGCCAACCAGCATCAGGGAAGTCTGTGCTTAGCACTTTCAAGAGCCCTCATCCTAATAAGATTATGATATGGTTGAATGACTGCTCTACTACAGACAAAGCTGAGAGCCTCACTCTGTTCAAATATTCCTTCAAAGTACTCTAACATCCACATCCCGACTTGAATTTTTTCATTAAATTTAACACGTCATTTTGGGATTTATGGTACAGTTAGCAATCCAAATTTACGATTCCTTAGAACAGTGATTCCCGAACTACGCCTTCCCTAGTCCTCAAAACAGTTTAAGATTTACAGATTCTACTAACTTTTTTATACAAGTAGTAAACTGCAGCATGACTTTAAGGCAAACCTACAGCCCAGCTTCTCCCAGTAACCATTCAAGAAAGCAGTATAATGCACAAAAAAGCAATAACCCACACATTCAGAAGTAAGCTGTGTTGTACAGCTAGGTTTGTATTTAAGGCTGAAGATCAAAGCACTGCCCGCCCTTTTATCTGAATCTCATGTGACCAAAATTCTAGGTCCTTACCACACAAAAAGAGCATCAGTTCTTTTCCCTTGGTCTCTGACTCAGGACAGGTGGGGTCCCTGACATTGACCCAGATATAAACCTCTGGAAATCAAAAATAAAAAATTGCAATTCATAGCTATGCAATGCAGAGTTGCATTAATCAAGAGGGAGGAGGCCAGCTCAGGAGGGTTGTCCACCAGCTGCATCAAAGGTTTGGCAAGACCAAGGAGGTGAAGAAACAGGGAATGCAGGATACAATCAGATAGGGCCTGGCCTAGCACACAGTTCAGGCTGCACAGCTGAAGACAGCCTGTGGTGCGGGGGGTACACACAGAAGGAACAGGTGGTAGCAGACAGAAGCCAGAACAGGGAGAAACAATCTTTTACATCCTGGTGGGTTATAAAATTGTTAGTATAGTTTATAAACTAACAAGATGAGATCAAGATGGACTAAGGAGGATGTGTCTTATGCCTTTGTATTCCCTTGTGCCTAGCAGAATTCAAACCCATGACAATTTAAACAGATATCCCCATGACTTTCATTCTACCCTCCCTGAATGCTGCCTCTAGCAAACACACGCCCCACCTCCCAACAGTGCCAAACTGATGATCCTCACTGCTGCCTGCAGCTGCACATCAGGTCTGCTCCACCACCTCGTCACTCCTGCTCCCTGCAAGTAAGCCACGGAAGCCTGTCACCCTCACTTAAACTCACAGCTCACACAGGTTCCACATGGCTGAAGATTTGGATGGCAAAAACACGCTGCTACCCCACAGTTGACACTCCACACAGCACAGCAGGACATACTGGGGCTTACTTGTCCTCGTGCGGTGCTGCACATTTCAGCTTGCACATCATTCCCATTGTCTGTTAAAAACTTGTGGGCAGGAGAAAGCCTAGGGTGGAAAGGGCGACAACTCTAAGTTTCTTTTGTCAGTGCTGATATATCCTGATATAGGCAGGATACATCATTAGAGAGCTCTAGCTCTGAGGCAATTAAGACCGTTTAATTTTAAATACAGAAGATGATAACTAATAGGAAAAAAACTGATGTCACTCACATTGCAGTGGAAATGGATAAAAAGATAGGAACTGAATATAGATTATAACCCATTCAGATTTGATGAGTCAACTTATAAATGAACAAAACATCACCTGGGGCAGAATCCATTGACCTGTCTTCAAACACATCCAAGTCCTACACAACCAGCCTGTCACCATTAGGAAAACAGCCCTCAAATCTCTGGAGGTTTTCCCCACATGTAGTGAAAAAGAGAGAATATATAATTTCTAAGGAAAGGTTGCATTCAATTCCTAGCATTTCACTAAACAGAACATACTTACTTTACAACCTCTTGTGTCTCTTTGGTACAGCTAGTTTCCACCCTATGGGCATGTTTAACTTCCTTTTGCCTTAAGAAGAGTGACACTCGCATCGAAGTCGCCTTGATTCCAGAAGAGTCCCCTGCTCAGCAGAGAACACAACCTCCTTGTCTCTGTATCTGATGGAAGCTGGGCCAATCCATGGGCAGGGGGCAAGGCATAGGAGTCACGTAAACACATGCCCACTTCAGGAGAGTGGTTTCACAAGGGAGCTGGGAAGCAGGAGGCAGAAAAATTTCCATGGTCTTAAAACTGCAGGAGCAAACCAAACGAAACTGTCCCATTTCCTCCAGCTACCAAGAGTTTGGGGGCTTCTAGCTTCATGCTGCTGACACTGAAGCTTAAGCAAGAGCTTGATGCCCAGTGTTACACTGGTGAGCTTACAAACATCAACAGGCACTGAAACTTGGGAGTACACAGGGAGTCTGGTGGACTTACACCTTTGTACCTACTGAGTGGTCAATATCTCCAGAGCTAGGCTGACAGAGGCTGAAAGCCTCTGGATCTTTCTCTTAGATTCAGGCACTTCAGTTTTTACTTATCACCTACCCTAGACACAAAAACAGGCCATATAGCTTGAGAAGGTGAATATAACATCACCCATATACCTGAGCCATGTTTGAAACAGCAGCTGTAGACCTCAGTCCTAAATCAGTGCTTCTCTGGGATCCTGGGCAGTTCTCTGAGATTCTACTGAAAAAAAGTATGGCTATTTTAAAGTAATAGCTAAGAACGATTTAAACAAAATACAAACCTCTTATTCACAGCAGTGATGGTAACATCACTTCAGAATAACCGAAGTAAATCAAAACAAATATGTCCAAAATTAAGGAAAAAATTATTTTTAGGAAGGAATTCCCTTATGAGTTGTTTTCTGGACATCCTACGTGTCAGGGGTGGGGAGGAAGAAGTAGTTAGAGGTAGGTGGGGGCTTTTTCATGTCATATACTCATTTTTTATTATCTGTTCTACATTATATTATAGAGTTTATACTACACCAGAAACATCCAAGGAACCAGAAATACAGAAATCCTAAATAGTGTATTTCATTGTTTGTTACTTGAGGTTTTGTTTCAATATTTGGTTTTCCTACCATATCACAGCCACATTTTCTAAGTAAACATGCAGCCAGGGACAAATGTTGTCAAGTACATTTACAACAGCTTACACATTACTTGTGACACCAGCTTTTCATTCTATCATTGCGTGCTTCTTTCCTGCACTAGACCGTAACAGCTCCACTGCACGTCAAGATATCCTTGGAGATTCCTTAGTTCACGGATCATTGACAAGAAGAGACATTACAGACATTCATGTTGGCATAGCTGCCACACATGGGGTCTTAAGCCCACTTGTTAAAAACCTTGCAGCAGCCAGGCTAAAAGGTCACAGGGGATATTAATCTCTATTCTTTGGAGCATAAGCTGAGCTGATCCCTATCTGGGGTCAGAAAAGAATTTTTCTCCCAGAACTAAAGCAATGCACAATTGAGCAAGATCCAAGAGACAGTCTCTATTTTAACATTAAAGCATTATACACACACGAGTATTTCCAGAGGCAGATACAGTGACTGTGTGAAGGACAGGCAAAGGGGGACACCTTGCTTAGCAAACTTGTCTGCAACACCAGTGAGAATGAATACAGGACGACTGACCCACTTCAGCCCATGTTCCTCAGCACTACCTCACCACAGAGGTACCAAAGGCAGCAAATGCCCTCTCCTATAGAGGGGGTCTGTAGCAGGGCTCATCCTATTGTTTGATCCCGAACATCACTCTGCAAGTGCCAAAACAGAAGGCATCTCTGCTATCTTTACATGTCTTTTTTATGCATGTGTTTTGACACAATCAGTAACACAACTGCATCCCATTTTCTCCACAGGCATTCAACTCTTGAACAGGATAGATGACTCATATAACGAGGTGTTACTCTTTTTTGCTTTACTCTCATTCTTTCAATAGTCTCATCAAGCTTTATTTAATGTCTGCTAATCAGACTTTTCTCCAAATCAGATGTTAATTCCTCACTGATAGGGCTATACTGTACCTGGATTTTTCTGGACATGTGTCTTTCTCTGATCAAAATTTTACCCAGGCAAAGCAAAAACGTTCCACAACTCCCTGAGATTGTTGGACACGTGCTCTCAGGTCATAGCAGTTCCACAGTACTGCTGACTGGACAGCTGAACATCTGGAATGGCCTGAACATACACGGATGAAGACTGGCGACTAATTCTGTTTCTCATTTTCCATAAATCAGCTGTGCAGCACGATGTCGGGAATCCCGAAATGCAATGTAAGAGACACGACTAATGTTACAAGACAGAGCCACTCTGTTAGGCACCATCTGCTGGAATACAATGCTGAGGTATGCCTATACATTTTCCACTTCTACAAGACAGACTCAGGATGATCCTCTGCCACTGCACAACCCCAGAACAGGTCAACTGCCACACAGAGTAAAGCAAGGAAGCAAATTCCAGTGTTAAGAGGTGTTGATTTTCAGATTTATCCACTTTTTGTGTGCATCCATTTACATTACCAGAGTCTAAACAATGAACTGAAGCTGTTCTTTCCACAAATTCCTCTTACTACTTGGAAGCTTTTCCTTGCAATTAACTGAAACCTGCACTTCTCAGGTTAAGGCCATATTGGTTTTGTAAGCCAGCTATGACCAGTTTCAGTTTCCTCTCCCTCAATTATGTCTTTGCTTCAAATAGTACAATGATCCTCTTTTCAGTTTCCTCTTCAAAGTTATAAGTTGCTAAAACAGAGACATGTAACTATATGACAATGCCTTACCTGGAAAAGTATAAACAGCAATACTAACTGGACCATTGTCAGAGGAAGAAAAAAGTATTTTTTCCCTGCATGATGCGCAGTTCCTACTAGAAGCCTACAGAAGTCTATTTCTGACTGAAATACAGACTGTATTTTTTTCATGTGCTTGATGTATTTAATTTGATTTTTAAGAATAAGTTATTAAAAATGCAATTGTTCAAAAAAAATTTAAATAAGACTTTCCTGCTTTATTATAAACATTATTCCTTTTATTTTGGACTTGGGTGCAGAACAACTGGTCTTAATTTCTAATAATTAATTGTCCCTGTTCAGATGCAATCACTGATGCTGCTGACAGTTATCAGACATTACGTTTGCACGACAAAACCAACATTTTAACTGATCGCTGTCAGATAAAATACAAACAAACAAAAGGCTTGCCAAGTTCCACAGCCAAATCCATCTCTCCCTGTTGACATGGCTTTGTTTACACATGCAGCTGTGGTTCCAGGGACTGGTGTGGAAGTTAATGATAATAACCTCACAGAATCAGAACTCCTGTTAAAAATATACCTATAAGTAACAATGTGGCTCAGTTCCAGCAGAATTGGATTTAAACTACATTTAAATGAGATGAGAAGTGTGCTGTGCCAGTGCTATTTTCTTCCTTTTGCTGTGTGCATCAGCAGTGACACGAACGGCTACAACTGCATTGGTGGCCCTGGGGGTTGCCATTGGAGCGTTCATGCCCTGGGCTTCTTCAAAGCAGCACACACGCCAGATAAAACATACACACACATACTACAGCCCAGGAAACCTAGCACCGAGAGATCTCTCAAGTCAGCTAACTGCTTTCTGCTGTTTTTTGGCTTCTTTGCACTGAAACTCTGTTTTGCAATAGCAGACGTGGAGTTAATGGGGAAATGTGTATGGAAGTGGGAAGAAGTATGCCTGCAGGCCTCAAACTATTTTTGTGTGAAATCTTCTGAGAGCTAACTCAAAACAGAGAGTTACTTTAAATGCAAGTGAAAAAAACCCCCATCTTCAAATGAAGTAAAGAAATTCATCACAAGTTAAAAGTAAACATATAAGAAACCACTAAACAGTTGGTCATTGTTTTAATTAGAGATTAATTTAGAGATTTAAATTTGAGATTTAATTAGTTTGGTAAACCAAACAGAAAGTATCCTGGAGAATGAAATGGCCATTTGCAGAGCCTTTGTACTACAATTTTCTGAAGAACTAGAAAGAGAAGAATCAGAGATGGCCATGCTACTCCTTAAGACTGCAAACCATATCCCTCTCCAGGCATCTCATGCACCAGTTTCAGGCACATCCATATGGTCACACCACCATTACTTGGGGTAATGAGGTGTTCATTGGCCAGGCTGGATAACATAAAGGGAAACAGCTAACACAAATGCTGTGGGGCACTCTGGGGACCGTACTCCATACATACACAGTTCAGGCAGTGAGAGGCTTGCTAGCTTATGCTCCATCTTAGCCCTGCTGGACCCAGGTTGGCTCCACACATCTCTCTCCTCTCCAACACAGCCTCCAGGCGTTCTGGCATTAGTGCCACATCAAACCCAAGCCCGTGTTCAGGTGGGACCAGGCCTGAGGTGACAGATCCTTCCTCTGACAGAATGCAGGGCCTAGATACCTGAAGGATTCCGCAGGGCCTGTCTGGAGCTCAACAAAAGGGAACTCTGCGCAAGTCAATAATCCCTCTGGTCCTTTGTGGAGCCACTTGCTTCTCTGCATATCGTGTGCAAGCACTTCTGGTAGAGCAAACATGCCACCAAAGACTCCTAAGATGGGTCTGTGCAGAGCCAGCTTGGGTTCAAAGTGTTTATTAGGTTGGGCTCTGCGCCAATAGAGTTAAACTGTTCCTGCACCCTGGCCCTGGACACAGTACACCCATGTTCCCCCCATGCTGCAGCTCAGGAGCCCTGACAAACCATAGTCAGCTCCACAAAGACTCAGTTCTGCTGCTGCTACATTCCCAGTGCAGCCAATCCACAACCCAGATAAACCTGCCACGAATAACTGCAAGTTTAATTGACTCACACGTGTTTATAACCCTGACTCACAAGGTCAGAATTTCGGCCTGAATACTTTTCCACCTTTTGAACTCCTCTCCGAATTCCAAAGAATTGGGTCCTTAGGACTAAGAATGCGTATTTCTTAATTAGAATCTTGCTTTTTAGAATTGTTCTAAAGAGTAGTATATATTCTTTTAAATATATAGTAATTAGCATATTGTTCTTAGTGCTACAGAGCTGCTTTTAGTCTTCAGATTTCTCAGCTCATCCACAGAAGAATGAGCTTTTTTTTTCACACTTATTTACACGGAAAACCAGATAAAGGCCTGGTGATGCTTCCTTGTCTTCCATTTAATTCTCTTTCTTGAGATTGAGATCAGCTCAGGGCAGGATCCATTTCTCTCCATTATCTGCTCAAAAGCCCAAGTCTCCAAGAGCAAAGCACCCTGGAAGCATGCTGCAGCTGCGATGTTCACTTCTGCAGGCTGGCAAGTACCAGGAGCTGCAAGAAGCCTAAGCCTGCCTAGGATGTAGCTGACATAGGGGTGGGGGAAACAATCTGCAATTGCAATAAAAATCGAACATCCCTTGGAAAGAAACCTAGCTTTGTGACATGTGAAACTGTAGTAGGAGTAGACATTCAATATTCACATGCAAGGGAGTACTAATGCACTGATGCTTTTAAGATAAAGATTTTCAGAAAGGAAAAATAACACCCTCTAACATACCAAACACAAACATGTATATTTTAAGTATGATATTGAGAGAATATCATATATATGAGAAAAACTGAAATTTTATTCCCCCTCATGGCTGTTGGAGAATACAAGATAAAGAATAACACTAGAACTGTCAACAGAGAACATGGAGAGAAAAAAGGGAAAAATGCCAATACTGACATCATGACATTAATGGGGAGGGGGAATAGAAATGTAGCAAAATTATTTTTAAAAAAGTAACACTGTGGCTAGACCAACTACTGCAACAAACCCAACAGCCTAAGAGTGGTTGTAGGACACATGAAACTGGAAACTATAAACTCAACTACTCGGAGAAACTTTGCAGGCCTCACTCTGACCATTGCCTCCTCTGCACCCATCACCCGGCCTCCAGTCTGCTCTGCCTTCTGCACATCCCTGCCCTCCCGTCTGCTCTGTCACTCCTCCTCCGGCACATCTCTCCCATCCATCTATCCACCTACGTTCCCATGTGCCTCTTTCCTCGCTCCCATGGACTCTTTCTGTCCTCAACCTCCAACGGAGTCCTCCACTGGCATTCACACGCCACCCAACCCATCCTGCCCCCGCCGCACCCCCGAACCGCACTCCCCCACCCGGGTTTCTCGCGCACCCCCGCACCCCGCCTCGCGCCTCCCCTCCGCAGCCGCAGAGCCCCCGCGCAACCCCCGCCTCCTTCCCGAGAGCCCCGCAACGCCCCGCGCCCACCCCCCGCAGCCGGCCTTGCCGCGCCGCCCCTCCCTCCAGCCCCTCCCTCCCGGCGGCGGCACAGGGGCTTTGCCCTCGTTGTTCCCGACGGATGAGCACCCTCAGCGCCCTCGTTCAGAGCGAGCCTCCCCCTCCCCACAGGGGTCTCCTCCACAGCACACATCTGCCCCCCTCCGCCGAGGCCGCTGGGGGCTGTAGTTCTCCCCCGCGGCCTCTCCCGGCAGCCCCCAGCGCCCGGCGGGGGGGCACGGACTACACTTCCCGGCACGCTCCGCGGGAGCGGGGGGGACCCCCACCCCACCCCTCCGCCAGCCTCTACCGCTGGTTCCCCCCCATCCCCGCCGCCTCCCTCAGCGCGGCGGGGTTCGAGCTGCCGCCCGCTGCAGGCAGCGCCGCCGTGAGGGGCTGCCCCGCCACCGGGCCCTGCCGTTACCTGGGAGAGCCGGGGGTGCGTGTCCGCGGGCGGGAGCGGCGCGGGGAGGGGGCGCAGCGCTGCTGCTCTGTCAGCCCGGGGCGGGGGGGCCGAGGCGCGGGGGGCGGGCGGGGAAGAGAAGGGGGTGCGCGCGCGCGGCGACGGGCGGTTGCCATGGCGGCGGCGGGCGCGGGGAGGGAGGGGACGGCACCGCCACCGCGGCTCCGGCCTCCGGAGCGCGCCCGCCGCATCCGGACGGCGGAGGTGGCTGCGGGCGCCGCCGCCCGGCCCGCGTTTGGCAGCCCTCGAGAGGGCTCCGTGCCGAGCATCCCGGGCAGAGGCGGGCGGAGAGCGTCCCGATTGCTGCGCGAGCGGCGCAGTGCCCGTCCGGGGAGCAGAGGAGCGAGTGCCAGAGCTAAGCGCCCAGGCTGGCTGCTGAGCGCCGGCCCTGCGCTGCGCCGCGCTGCGCCCGTGCTCGAGTCGGAGTGGTCGAACACACAGGATCACAGGATGGGTCAGGTTGGAAGTGACCACAGCGGGGTATCTGGTCCAGCCTCCCTGCTCAAGCAGGGTCATCCTAGAGCACATGGCACAGGACTGTGTCCAGACGGTTCTTGAATATCTCCAGTGAGGGAGACTCCACAGCCTCTCTGTTCCACTGCGCGGTCCCCTGCACAGTAAAGAAGTTCTTCCTCATGTTCAGGTGAAATTTCCTGTGCATCAGTTTCTGCCCGTTGCCTCGTGTCCTAGTGGTTAGCATCGCCGAGAAGAGCTCTGACTTCACATTCAGAGCTCATTCCCACTCTGAATGCAGACCTCGTCTGCCTCCACCTCGGCTGAGGGAGCAGCTGGGAAAGGCAGAATGTGCATTTGTCTTGCATGGACACACAGAAGGGCACTGACCACTATCTTTGCTATAGTGGTTTAATTGCTTTTATAGTACAGTGGAGGAACAGATTTGGGGATTTGCCCTATTTGCCCTATTCCTGGACCTGTCTGTATTGCCACCAAAAAGGGCAGTCCTGCATTCCTCTCTGATCATGACCATGCCTTCCTGTTTATTATTTACACTACAACAACACTGATGTTGCCATCTGGCAAGGCAAGCCTGGGATCCGATCTGGTGGAAAGGCAGTAATGCCCCTCCAAAAAATTACCCAAATTCGTCTGGATGAAGTTCGTTCATTAGCTGAGCCTGCAGAAGTACTGCAGAGGAAGGCAGAGTAGATGTGGAGGCAGGAACAGCCAACTGAGATCCCAGCGGATCCGAGCTGTGTTTCTATGTGCAGCTGCACCACTGCAGCAAGTCCTTGCTGCTGGAACTGCTGTGTGACAGCTCTGAGAGTGCCCCAGTGATGATGACCTTGTGAACACTCCCTATAGTAGTACGTGATTTCTCCAGAAAATGTCTGTTGTAGTTACTTTAAGGTAGCAGCATGAGGTCGTATCTCACAATAAGGTTCTCAGAAATGTTAACTGACAGAAGTGAAAGAGCAGGGTTTGAAACTAAAAGCTCAGTATGCCTCTTAAACAATACCGCATGTATGAATGTGTCACTTGTGTATCTACAGATCTTGCTTCCCTCAAAATCATGTGGAGATTCTTATGTCTTTGTGACTATTTTAGAACTGGGGCCAAAATCGTGATGAATTCGTAACAGCTGCAACTCTGGCTTCCCCCTTTTCCAGATTTTTTCAAACTTGCCTGCCCATGACATCAATTCCTGCTGGTTTTTCACATACCCAAAAGCATAGATACTGTGCAGACCTTGCAGAGTTCTGTGTTTCTTAGGGAGAGCAGATGATAAGCAGCCTGTTCCCAACACTGCCATAATATCCCTTCCCACTAGGCTATGTACCTCTTATCACATAAGGCAACACATTAACCGCTTTGTGTGAGGATTGTATCCCCCAGCTAGGAAATCGTGACACAGAGAAGGTTGGTTATTTGGTCGTAATCTCTATTTGTTTGGTTGGTGATTTTTTCCCCCATCCCTTTTTTTAGTAATGCTTGAGTCAAGCAGGGCTGCTTCCTCATGGCAGAGGATACCCATACTACTGCTGACCTCCCTTAGAAAAGCAGTTATTCAACTCCAGAGCAATACCAGTTGGATCCCTCAGAGGGAAATTTTGGTATGCATGGGTCTACACAGTTTGCCAAGATATGCTAAGTAACTGGGTCGGGAGGAAGAGAACTGTATCTCCAGGTTCCTAGCCATACACATTAGGATAATTCAAGTTGGAGGGGACCTCAGGAGGTCATCTAGTCCAACCAGACAATTAGAAGTTCATAAACCTGTTAATAAGGCAGATGAATGACAGCTGTGAGCATGAAAATTTCATAGCCTTCCCTGCTGCCGTGGTTAGACTCCATCAAATTTGGCTGGAGTGATACAAAAAACTGCTACCCTGACCATCTATTCCGCCTCCTTACTGAAGGTTCCTGCCTCCACAATCGTCCCTGGATTGGAAAACACTGATGTTCCTAATCCATTTAATTAAAAATATGGTATTAAAGTCATGTTTGGGAGCAGTTTAAGCGAATTTGCTGGACCTTGTATTGAAGCAGCTGGGACTAGTGCATGCATTTCATTGCACTGACTCTGCTGTGAGGCAGTAATCTCAGGCAAAGAGAAGGTAAGAAGTTGCTGGGAGGAGTGTGACACCTTAAGCCACTGAAGCTTGTTCTACTATGAGTATATTCTCATGGCTTACAGCTTTTTATTTTTTGATAGAGGCTTTAAACCTAGCAGTTCTGGATAAGATGTGAGGTTGGTGGGTGTCAGCAACTGTGGTTAGGCAGGATCCAGCCATGGTGGTGTAGGAGAGCATTACTCACAGCCAAACCTCAGGGACTTATCATGCCCCTTTCCAGCAATCTGTGAATCTGCCAGCAGAGCTGATTGTGTGCCCCCTCGCTCTGATTTATTCTAGTCCAATCAGGAGCTGATATAAATTAATGTTAACTCTTTTGCCATGAACATTAGGTTTGGTTTGGAAGTGTCTCTTCAGCTAGAGTAATTGCAGACACTGTCAGAGAAGTTTAAAGCTATCCACTCTTAGGATCTGTGTCAGATTAACAAAACTGGTTTCTGAATTGATTTGGTTATCATTACATAAATTCCAGCAACTTGAGGGCTGGCACAGGCTTTTAGCACAAAGTAGCAGAGAGCTTCATTTGTAACCTCCTCCCACACACAAAGTTCTGCAGGAGAAGGTTGAAAACATGTGAGAAGTCTATGAATTATGAACTGCCCTTTGCTTTTGTCTTACCCTCCCCTTGCAATTATATTTAACCAGACTGCAGGAATTATTGTGCCTTCATAATAATCTTTAATGTTCACATGCAAACCTAACTCTTTACCAAAGGTCTTACAGGTTGTGTGGAGAAATACTGTAATAATGGAAAGTGAAAAACAATAGGGAAGCAATAGGGAAAAGAAGATGCACGTTACATATTCACGGGCATTAACTTTCCAAGGGAAGTTATGCACAAGTCGGTAGAGGCATCAGTAGACTGTTAATTTTCATACACACAAAGTAATTGTTCTTCTGCATAGATATTTTTATGTTATGGTATTTATCAGTGTGACATATCCACCGATTTCTCTCCTAGGAAAGAACCTCAAAGTCTGAGCCTTGAGAAATTGTGATGGAGTGGCAACACAGAAACATTTAGTCAACATCTTTCCCATAAGGCACATCTCAAAATGACGTGAATTGTTAATAGAAAACAGTTTAAGGGAAAGCAGTTGATTCTCAAATGGGATTTCAGTTGGAAAGTGAGAGTAGGAATGGGCAAGGGTGTTTTTATTTATCTGGTCAATGTAGACATCTGTCTCCTAGGTCTCTGCCTCTGAGTTAGCTTTCTTCTTAAGTGAGAGAGGGAGAGAGTGATACTTTGAGGATACAATTCCTGTTTTAATCAACATGCACTGTGCCCTGAATGTGTTTAGGTTTTTTTCAGAGCTTATAGCCGACTTAGCTGATCAGCATAAATATAAGTGTTTGCACTGTAGATGCCTAAAGGTAGGTGAGAGGAGTCCTACCCAATATGTTTGTTGTATTGTTAGGCCATAGCAAGGGAAAGCTGTCACGGCAGCTTTGAGTTGGTTGATTAAAATGACAAAGAACAAGCTAGTGTCACATTAATGGAAAACACAGGCAGAAGAGAAGACGGATCTTTGAAATGGGTTGGAGCAAGCCCACAGTACATTGAAAAAACCCCCACCTGTTCTGTTTTGAGTCTGCAGACAGAAATTAGAAGAATTAACAGGAACTAGGATATCGTGTTTCTTTTCTGTGTATACTCAACATGCAGAAGCATTTTGCATATGTTGGAGTATTACACTTGGGAGAAGAAATAAGAAAGTAGTTTACAGTAGTCCAAACAAATAAAGAGGAAGACTTGGACAGAAACGTCGGAGAAAGTAGAGTCAGGTCCAGGGAGCTGTGTGTCAGCAACTGTTAAGTGAAAACCTGGACACGGAAGGAAAGTTTATTCACAGCATCTCAGTCCTGTGGCAGAGCACTAGACAGTATCAAGTGGCAGAGTTCCCTTAATCTGTCTGCTAGGGTTGACAACTGAGAGAAAATCTCTCGTGATGCACTTTTGTTTGGCAGTATAACTTTTTCAGGGTACAGTGTGAATTTTAAGCTGTTTTTCTAAAGATGTGACGCTTCTGGAGTTGCACACTGTCTGTCCCATTGCAATCATTTTGAACTTCACTGGCCAGTTTCTACTGCATTTGCAAAAGGATGGTGGTCTAATTGAGTTCCTTCTAGTTTTGTAGTAAGTAGCACAGTAGAAAAAATGGACACAGCTGGTGCCTCTGCTGAGCACAAGGCAAGCTGCCCAGTCTGCTTGTGTGAAATGACTGACAGCTCCCCTTTTAGGGCTACCTGCAATACCCACTTCTGTGCACAGTTGCAATAACATGTATGATCCATAGGCAGCTTTATTGAAGGGATGAGAGCTAAGTGGAAATGGACACAAAACCCTAGGATTCTGGGCTTTGATAGTTTGAACCAGTTACA